ACACGATAACACAGCATATACAATGGTATGTAAATTATACAAAATATACACAAAAACTGAGGATTTTAATGAAAAACAAATGAATGAAGTTGTTGAATGCTAATTACTCACACTCAAAATAACAACAATTTAACATCCAACAAACTCTCCCAAACTTAAACTTGTTTGTCCTCAAACAAGAATCAATAAACCTAAAGCGTAAAAGCAATCACCAAGAATTTATGCTCAACATGTTTTTACATACGGAAACAAACGCATGGTCTAGTAATCAAAAGTACAAACAAAATAATGCTTACCACTGAACTACAACGATGCAACAAATATTAAACAAAGTCTAAACATGAAACACATGTCAAACATTCTAAAGCAACAAATTTTCACAAGTGAATCACACCTAACACACCACTTCATTAGGGGATGAAAAACAAATACGAGGGACAAACTCACAAACAACAATCTTGCTAACATCAATCAAATTATGCATTCATCTAAAAAAAACTCATATTGGAAGTATAAAAGCAAAAATCACAAGGGGTTTAAAGGTTGTAATGTGGCTTGGGTAATGAACAATTGTTTTTCTCAAGGTAAAAGAAACAGAAACTTGTCTAATCAAATGAGAGTGATCATTTCTCACAATTTCAAGCATTCACAAATTCCAAACACCTTTTTCTTTTTTCCAAATTGTTACACCATTTCACACAACTTATTAGCACAACATCATTCTATTTTTTTCAAGTCCTTTTTTCCTTTTTCCTTTTCTTTTTCACCTTTTTCTTTCTTTTTCAATGTTTTTCTTTTTATCAACCATTTAACAATCCATCTTTCTTCTCCTCAACTTGAATACAACCAATCATGTAATGTGAATGCTCCCAACTTATTAAGCAAGGGAAGAAAATCCAATCATAAATCATGGTTATGGTTCAAGAAAAATATTAGAATCCATACAAAAATGAGCTCAACACTAACATGGATTCTAACAAAGGCTCAAAGGGGGTAAGCAAATTCTCACTCACTCACATGGTAGATTGAATATTTCGTCAAGTGGTTATGCTCAAAATAAAATAAAATGCTTTGATCATTTTCATACTTTCATACAAATCAACACAAATACAAGATTAAACATAATTCAAACGAGTTAAACAAGAAGGTTGGTCTCCATGCAACTTAGTTAACAATGGAAGACATCCTCATATTTGGGCTATGAACTAAAGTGATTCACAAATGAACAAAAATCGCAAGAGAATAAATGACATGTTATTTGTACAAAGCCTAAAGTTCATGTCCATGCTATGTTGTAGAAAACACTGAACACATACCTTGACAATGCAACTTTCTTAAAACTTTTATTACTACCACACATTTTCTTATTGAAATACTCAAACTTGAACAATCACCAAATGCATTCTCAAGCTAATAAAAAACAAAACATGAGAACAAACACACAAATTTTCTATAAATTAGACATTAATTACTAACACATATTAACACAAGTTCAAAAATAGGTGAAAGTGGATAAAAGAATGAGAGATTTTTCCACACAAAGAAGGGCGCGCTAAGTGCGAACATGCTTGCTCAAAATTTTCAAAAATGCAACTTCTCTCATGCAATCCATCCATTCTCAGTCTATACTAACTATACTACTAAATATAAAACTGTACAAACTCAAAAACCGTTAAGTTGCCTCCCAACAAGTGCTTGTTTCACGTTGTTAGCTCGACGCCTTTATTGTGCTTGGCTAGTAACTTCCTCACGGACATGTCGATACTTTTCTTCAAAGCGCAAAACTAAAGAAAATATTCTAACCAAACACTTGAACAAATATTATGGGAACAAAATATATACAACACTTTGAACAAACGTAATGGAAAATACATATGTACAAGATTGTATGGAAAACAAGTATGGAACATAAGTATAAACAAGTATGGAAAACAATTATATTCAAGGATGAAAAATAAAAGCAAAATAAGTATCTATACAAGCATATATACAATATAGACAATCATGTACAAAGCTTAGAAATATAAAAACTATCGCAATGCTTTCAATATTTACACCAATCCCCGCCAACGACACCATTTTGTATAAATTGCAATATAGCGGCAAGAAGTAAAATATTTGGAAGAATTTCCTCTGGTTTTTATCGTCTCCACATGGATCGTTGCGAGGAAAAATGTCATTCAACAATCTTTACATCTCTAAGCTTGATTTGAATGGTTTTAAAAGAGTAAAATCAGAAAGTAAAAGATATTAACAAGTAAATAAAGTACGATAAATAATTCATTAGGAATTATATTTCATTTTACCCATCTAGACATCTAGTATTAAAAAAAATCTATCAACCATTTGTACGCAACATAAATTACTCATGAATATCCTCACATATCACCCAAAACAAAGGTTATGTATAACGCAAAGTTACGAGAACAATCATACTGTCTTATCAGTGATGTCTCATGCAACTCAACAACACAAAGCATTAAGAATGGATACCCACGTGAATATTAGTCCTCAATCTATGTCTAAAGTTTAGAATCTAACAGATATTCATCTTAGATCGAGTTCGAACCATATATGTCTATATCAATCCAAACCTATTAAGATAAATATTGAAATAAAAAATAACATCGATAAATATTTGTAAAAGAGATTTTATATAACGATCAATAAATATAGATACAATCAAGATAAACTTACATACAACACTCAAACAAATAGAAAATACAAAAAAAAAGAAAGTGAAACTAAACCAGTGATTCTTAAGGTGTCAAGACGATAATCACAAATCCTATCCAAAATCATGGATTTGGATATACCATGCAATTTCACAACTTCTTTGAAAAACAAATTAGCAATATGACAAGGAATGAAATGCCCTATCTTAGAAAAACAATCAATAACAACAAAAAAGCTATCATATCATGACCATATTTTATCTTAAGTAGACCTAAAACAAAATCCATAGATAAGTCAACTCTGAAGAAGAAGAAATATAGAGAGAGGTATACAAACCATGAAATATGCTTTTGGATTTTTCCTTCTTACACACTATGCACTTAGAACAAGTTAAATGCACAACATGCTCAGGCCAATAAAAATGTTCATGCAACATGTTAAGAGTCTTATGCTCACTAAAATGACCCATTAAACCTCCATTGTGCACCCCTCTAACAAGAAACTCCCTTAATGAACACTTAGGAATGCATAATCTATTTCCCTTGACAAATATCCATCATGTCTATACTAAGGATCACGTGACATAAGCTCACAATCATGATAAATAGAAGAAAAATCAACATCCAAGAGACATAAATCTCTAATATGATCAAAACCAAGAAGTCTAGTTTGAAGTTGTAAAGATTATAAAGTACCTTTTTGGAAGTGCACCAACTACTACATTAGCTTTCCCTTTATTATGTTTGATGACACTCAGAAATTGTTCCAAAAACTCAACCCACTTTGCATGTCTCTTATTTATCTTACATTTATCTTTTAGGTATTTTAAGGATTCATGATCACTATGTATCACAAATTCCTTAGGAAAAAAATAATGTTGTCAAATATCTAATGCTCTAACTAATGCATATAATTTCTTATAATAAGTGGAGTAGTTCAAGTGTGCTCCAATCAATTTCACACTAAAATTTTCAATTGGGTGTCTCTCTTGTAACAAAACAACCCTCATTCCTACATTAGATGTCTTACATTCAATTTCAAATATTTTTGCAAAGTTAGGCAAGGCCAAGACATGTGTATTCATCAATTTTTCTTTTAAGGTACAAAATGCATCTTCTTACGCTTATTCCCACTTAAATGCAATATTTTTTTTAACAATCTCATTCAAAGGAGCAGCCAAAGTACTATAAAAGCTAGCAAGGCCATGGAAACTCCTAACGTCACTCATGTATTATTTAGATGTGGGTCATCTTTTATAGCCTTAATATAGTACATTTATCTAAGTGGGAGGGATTGGTTTACCCTCTATTTCTTTATCTCTTCTATCACTTTATTTTCATTTACAATATTCGGTATTTTTTTATAATCTTTATTCTATAATAACTATCAAACTCAAAAAAATAGCTTAGCTAATGCTAAAGTTGATTGCTTGGCAAAGATTTAAATTATTAAATTAGTTTTTGATTGAAATTTTCTATTCGACCTAACAAGTTACTTCATATTTTCTTATTTTGCATCCAGATTTATAAGGTTTAGACTTTAAAATTATAGAGTTCATATTTTTAAATTTTTTTTAACTTTAGTCCTAAAAAACCTGATACCCATTAAATTTAGCCCGTATGAAACGTGGGTAGTTCACTAGACTCTCATAGCTATAAATTTTTAAAAAATAATATCAATGCTTATATTGTCTTATTTCAAAATAACTCATTAATTTTTTTCATTTACTAAATTTATCTCTATTATATTCAATTTTTCTCTTTTAAATTTTATACATTAATATAATTAAAATTTCTCTCTCATATTTCATCAATTTCTCTTATGTTAAATATTCAAATACTATTTTATACAATTTAGACATATATTATATTACAAAATATACTATAGTATTTATAAAATATAATATAATATTTAAAAATATATTATGTTTAAAATAATATAATTTTAAATTTCATTTATAATAAATATTATAAAAATTTTATTAAAAAAAAATTGAATAGCCTGAATCTCATTTAAGATCATACTCGAGTACTAATTTTTAAATTTATATTGTAACATGGTATTTTTAATCCAACCTTAAAAAATCCAAGACCTGTTTAGGGCCCAATAACATTTTAATAGCTCTAATTAGTTGAGAGATACTAATGCTCAAACCTAACAAAAAAAAACAAACCCCAAAAATAGCATATATTATATAAATTGTTTTAGGAAGAAAAACACTAGCATAAAAAAAACCTAGGAAAGTAGTAGGACCGTAAAAGTATCTACAGAAGGCGTTGCGACTCCGCTGTTGTTGTGTTCCACTTCTGATATTTTGAAAGAGAATGAGTGAGTCAAAGCAAGAACAAGACACTGTTATAGCTTCAGTTCATTCAACCGTCTTCAAAGAATCAGAAAATCTCCATGGAAAATGTATCCAAATCGAGGGTTACGATTTCAACCGCGGCGTTGATTATCATAACCTTCTCGAATCCATGCTCACTACTGGGTTTCAAGCTTCCAATCTCGGTGATGCAATTCAAGTCGTTAATCAAATGGTTCTTTTCTAAACTATCCCGTCTCTTTGTTTTTATATTTTTCTCACTTTTTGCTTATAAAGTTTTCGTCTTTATGTTTTTTTGGAACACGGGGTTGAAGCTAGATTGGAGGCTGGTTGATGAACCTATTGCTGAGGATTCTAGTGACGAAGAGAAGGATTTGGAGTACAGGAAATCTGTTGATTGTAAAGTGTTTTTGGGTTTCACTTCTAATCTTATTTCTTCTGGTGTTAGAGATGTTGTGAGATACCTTTGTCAGCATCACATGGTGAGTATTTTTGAATTGAAAAGTTGTTAAATTAAGTGTTTTATTATTATTGAGAATGACATGGCAGTATTGTTATTAATTTTGTTGTTGCACTTTTACAGGTTCATGTAGTTGTTACAACTACAGGTGGTATTGAAGAAGATCTTATAAAGTGCCTTGCACCAACATATAAAGGAGATTTTTCTTTGCCTGGAGCTTATCTTCGTTCAAAAGGACTGAATAGAATCGGTAATTTATTGGTCCCTAATGACAATTATTGCAAATTCGAGGACTGGATTATTCCTATTTTTGATCAAATGTTGAAGGAACAAAATGATGAGGTATTTTATTTTGTGCTTTTCCTGCATTATAAATATAATATGGTTCAGTTTTTGTGGAGATATTCAAATCCGGACTTTTTCTGATCCGGAAGACCCTGATAACCTGTAGTTAACCGGTTTGACGGATTAGACTTTTTCTAATGCACTTATTTAAAAAAATTGTGAAAAAATTATTTTCAAATGACATATGGTTAATGCTTGGATGTCTGTGGTATCTGTACATACTATTAGACTAAAGTGTGGTTGAAAGCGAAGATAAATGGAGGAAAATAGCTGCTGCAGGTTGGTTGGTGTCACCGATTTAGTTGTTTTATGAATATTGGTACAAGAACTTTTCGTTACTGGGAAGTAGTTTGTGGACTAGTGGTGGTCCGTTAGATTTGGTCTTGGTATTTTGACTGCAGCAGGGAGGAATATAACATAGTAACATAATCTTAATAACTAATAAGTATGTTTCGAGTGACAATAGTAGGAATTATTCTAAAATTGATTCTAATAACACTAGGTATTTGTATAGTATAATTGGCATTTGTTATGATATACTCCCTCCATTTATAAGCAAATTTTAACATTTTAGATTCATTAAGTAATTAATGCATCTAACTTATATATAGTCCAAATACATCATTTATTGAATGAACTTAGGAAGTCAAAATTTGCTTATAAAAGAGAATGGAGGGAGTAACTATATAAGCAATGTATGTTTTGTAAGGAATAGTTTGCACCTCTTATATATTGGTATGAAAATGTTTTATACATTATGTACTTGTTGCGGTATGGTTTGTAGTAATCGGCTTAGACATTATGTACTTGTAGAATACATTTACTCTGCTTTCAATTGGAACTCTGTCATGTGTTACTTCATTTTTTTTTGTTGGCAGAATGTGCTGTGGACACCATCCAAGTTAATAGCTCGATTGGGAAAAGAAATTAATAATGAAAGCTCCTACCTTTACTGGGCATACAAGGCAAGAACGAAATCAAGCTTAGATTTTCAGCAAAACACGTTTTTTACTTCATTTCTGAATCAATTCTTTAAAAGAGTTTCTTTTTCCATCATTTTTGTTGATTTCCTACATATCCTTTACCGTGTTTCATTCAAAATGCAACATGGTTATTTGTGTTGTTGATTTTCTTGCTTATTAATTTGAGTGTTAGAAAGTTGCACATTGTATAATACTACTGACAAGTTCTTTGGTGTTTTACAGAACAATATTCCGGTTTATTGTCCAGGATTAACCGATGGCTCATTGGGTGACATGCTGTACTTCCATTCCTTCCACAACCCTGGTCTGATTGTGGACATAGTACAAGATATAAGGGCCATGAATGGTGAAGCCGTTCATGCAAATCCTAGGAAGACAGGCATGATTATTTTAGGAGGCGGCCTTCCAAAGCATCACATTTGCAATGCCAATATGATGCGCAATGGTGCAGACTATGCGGTTTTTATTAACACTGCACAAGAATTTGACGGGAGTGACTCTGGAGCTCGTCCGGATGAGGCTGTTTCATGGGGGAAAATACGAGGATCTGCTAAGACCGTTAAGGTACATTGTGATGCAACGATAGCATTCCCTCTGCTGGTTGCTCGAACATTTGCTTCGAGAAGAAAACCTCAAGATTGATGAAGGTTTACTACTAAAAAAGAGAAATACTGTGTTTGAGAATCTTGATAGACCGTTTTGCCACTGGTATTTAACTTGATTGTATTGTTATTCTTAAGGTCCACTTAGCAGGCATTTTTAGCATTGAGAGAGTCATGAATTGTAGGTGTACAAATGTTTAATGGTAATTAAATTTTTTGGAGCTGTGTTTTCATAGTTTTGAGGTGTTGAATGTAATCCACAAAAACACAGGCTTACTTGATAATCCAATTTTTGTGCAACTTTGATGTTTAAGAAAATAAGAAATATTGCAAGTTCATACTACAATCTAGCTAACTAATTATGATCTCATTTCATATATACTACATAGAACACATGGATACCATTTCATGTTTGTTAGAAACAGATTCAAGAAGCTAATAATATATAACTTCAAAAAGTAAACCCCTACATTTCATACATGCGCTTCATTTTCTCATGTCTAGATTCATACATACTATGGCAAAATCAAGGTGAAACCGTGATACATTTGAGATTCTTTCAAAATCACGGTAACACATCATGATTCTGCCAAAACTACGACAATAATAGGAGCGATATGCTAAGAAATAAGGTCATGCAAGGAAGGTTGGTAGGAAATAAGAAGAAAAAGCAACAAAAGGACAAAGGCAACACCCCAAGGAGAACCTCCAGCTCTATGGATAGCACTTGGTTCAGATCCTGGCATGGGAAAGTTCAACTGGCTACCAGTGGAGAGCCAATGAACAATGATGATTAAAAGCAGTGGAGAAATTACCAACAAACGCTGCAGCAGCTCTGAAGCAGTAGCCATTATTGCATCATAGATTAAGTAGCCAAGAATTCCACAAATGAGGGTAATGGATATCATCAAAAGCCAGTGGTCCATGAAGGTGAAACCAGAAGCTGAGCCTTTTGTTACTGAATAAGCCATGGGATTGGAGAGTTATGAGTGACTGAGAAGTGGCTCAGAAAATAAAGCATAGAGAGAGTGGACTTATTATGGAGAAAACTTGGTTTGGTACAATATAGATAGCTGTCAATTTTTTTACAATATTTCATAAATTTGTGAGTAATTGTTTATGACATCAACAGATACAATACAATAATGTGTGTCTTTTTACTTTTTTTGGGGGGTGGGTGGATTCTTGTGTGATGGGGCAAATCATATATATCTCTCATTTTCATATACGTGTGTTACTGCATCAATGTGGTCCTAGATTCTTTTTATGCTTTATGCATATAGTAATGCCAAGGGTATCAGAGTTTATATTATGATGACATACTAGTACTTTTCTTGTAAGTTTTTGAAATATGAAACTATAGATATATCAATAAACATGATCATGATCTCTCAATTTCATTCACCTCATGTAATTAAGTTGACAGTTTGTAGAAAGTTTAGATAAAAAACTAAGAGGGTCTTTAAGCTTAAGATTTTGACTAGTATTGCATTTTGATATAGACTGTAGGGGAATGTAATTAACAAAGAGTTTATGTGTATGTATAATGATATTTCCCATATGAATGCATCGTGAATAAAATTACTCTGGTGAATATGGACCACATACCAAATAGTACACCATTGAAAATGATGCAAACAAATTAGATAATTGACCATGAGTTTATTGATAATGTTATCATAATTACTTTTTTGCTTTGTTAATACAACCTATTTAATTGATGTAAAAAAATTCATCTAATATTATAAGATGTTGTTAGTGCTGAAGCAATTTGGACAGTGAAGGAAAAAGAGAGAAAATAGAGAGAGAATGAAAGTTATTATTGAAAAAGTGTTATTGTTATATTATGAATTAGATTATGTATATGTATATATACAAGTAATTAATTTGAACTTAAGTTTGGATTATATCACAAAATACTTTCTTATAATCCAAGTTGTTAAACACAAATTAATCATAATTGATCTAAATTATTTCTAATTTCTTTCTCAAAGTCAAGAAGCTGCCAATCTTCAATTCTTTAGTGAAAATGTTAGCCAATTGTGTTTCACTCGAACAACACCTCATTTCAAGTTCAACTTGATTTACCTTCTCCCTTAGAAAATGAAATCTAACTTTGATGTGCTTATTTCTTTCATGCAGAACTGAAATCTTTGCAAGATTAATGGCTAACTTGTTGTCGATCTGCAACACCAGAGGTTTCTTCACTTCGATCTCCATCTCATCCAACACATATCTAATCCGGATTGCTTGACAAGCAGCATAAGATCCTACTATATACTCAATGTCACATGATGATAATGCCACCACCTGTTACTTTTTTGAGCACCATGAGATTGGGGTACCAAATACTTGAAAGAAATAAACAGTTGCGCTTCTTCGATCTTTCTTATCTCTACACCAATCAACATCTGAATAACAATTAATCATGATGGAAATAAAATTCCAGACTTTTTTTTATCCTTTTAGGTATCTTGAGATTCTTCTTACAATCTTCATGTATGACACATTTGGTTCATCCATGTATATGCTTACCAATTCGACTGAGAAACCTATATGAGGCTTGTTTTTGCACACATACCTTAGAGATCCTATAATTTATTTGAACAAAGTAGCCTCGACCTTGTCCTTCTTTCTATGTTTCTCCAGTTTTAGATTTGCTTTGACAGGTGAGGATGCAAGATTCGAGTTTTCCATCCTGAATCTCTTAAGTATTTCTCTGACATACTTTCTTTGATGTAGCATCATACTTTACTTTGACATTTGAAATTCCATGCATAGGAAATAAAACATTTTTCTCATATCCGTCATTTTAAATTCTTTCTTCATCAGGTATTTGAACTTCGACAAGCTCTTCATGTTGTTTCCCGTTACTAGAGTGTCAAAGACATATAAGCAGAAGATGGTTATATCTTGTGCCATGACCTATACATAAACACCATACTCAGACATGCATGTGATGAAAACTAATTCAACTAAGTGTGAGTCGATCTTCTTGTTCTTCCTGTATCAAAAACCAAAAAGGTTGTGTGGTATACACGACTTCATTTAGGTGACCATTTAAAAGTACTGATTTCACATCTAAGTAAAATGTCGATCAACCTTGCTTGCATGCTAAGGTGACCATCAATCTGACAGTCTTTAATGTTTCTATTCGTGCATACACTTCAGAGTAGTCGAGTTCTACTTTTTGAAGAAATTTCCGAGCTACTAATCTTGCCTTATATCTTGCAATCAACCCATCATGATTGTGCTTTATATTGAACACCCACTTTACTTCGATGGCTTTTATGTGTGTTAGAAATTCGACTAGCTCCACTGTGTTATTTGTTTCTATTGCTTGTAACTCTTCAACCATATCTAACTTTCATTGTTAATCCTTTAAAGCCTCACTATAGTTGACTGGTTCAGTACCTACAAGTAAAACAAAATGAACCAAACTCCATCTGGTGTGACTTCACCATCACAGGCCACTTCATAGTTAAAGCCTTGCTGGAAGAACTCTGGTTCTTTAAGGTCTTTGGCTTGTTCTAGCCACACCTTTTATATTGTCTACTTCGAATTTGACTATGACTGGAATGTCAGTAACTGAAATTTCTCCGTGCTCACTACTCTTTCCATCAATGTCATAGCTCATCAATGGATTATTAGTGTCAACACATGAACTCCAATCCCAGACAGAGTTATCATCAATCACAATATCTCGACTCATCATAATATTATCATTCATTGGATTGAATAACATGTATGCTCTAGTCTTATGATATCCTACCAGAATAATAGGTTCACTCTTATCATCAAGCTTCCTTCTCCTAGCATCAAGAACATGCTTGTAGCAAATAGAGTCAAACACCTTTAGATGACTCAGTGATGGTCGTTTTCCACTCTATACTTCTTCAGGAACCTTGTTCTTCAGTTTCTTGGTAGGGAACATATTCAAAATATAAACATCAATAATAATTGCTTTCACCCCATAAGGATTTTGGCAAGTTATTTTATTTTAACATGCATCTTGCCTATCCAATATGGTATGTTTTCTTCTTTCTGCTATTCCATTATGTTGAGGCGTGTAAGAAGTAATTACCTTACGATCAATCTCATGTTCTGCACAAAACTCTTCAAATATCTTGAATGTGTATTCGCCACCTCCATCTGTTCGCAGAACCTTGATCTTCTTTTCTATTTGGTTTTCAACAAGTATTTTAAATCTCTTAAAGATTGAAAATACTTTACCTTTTTGCCTGATCACATAGATCCAAAGTTTTCTACTATACTCATCAACTAATGAGACAAAATACACGTACATCTGAATGTACTAATTATAGTATGCAGGAAAATTGGTATACCCATTACCATATTTTGAGTAATAAGTTAATCGAGTGACCTAAATTTCAAATGGCGAAACCTCAAATGCCACATCCAGCTATGCTTGTGGTTGACAACTATTTTTAGGCATTGTATCTCATTCGAACTGATCATGGTCTTAAATGTCCCGTTCTTCTTCAGAAGAGATTTTAAGAACAGGTTATTCTAGGTGTCAAACAATTTAAAGCCTTCATCTTCCATAACCACTGAGAAACCTTTTTTGACCAGTTGTCCAACACTTAGCAGATTTCACTTCATTACAGGTACATAGAGTACATCTTTCATCATAGCTTTTGCTTCATTACCCCTTTGAATATCTATGTTTCCAGTACCTTCTACTTGCAATGTGTGATTATATGCAAGCCTAACTTTTCTCTTCTTCGACTCGTCAAAATTTTCTAACTACACTCTTCAACCAATCATATGATTCAAGCAGTCTGTGTCAAGGAACCAAGTCTTGGGGTCGACATGCTCATCTGCAAATGCAACCATAAGCATCATACCATCAAAATATTTTGAGTCTTGACGTGCAAGGTTCGCTTCTCCATCATCCTTGCCTTTTGTTGCTCATTTGTCTTTCTTGTACCAATACCAAGTGACCATATTTTTCACAGTTATAGCACTGCACACTTTTCTTCTCCTATTTGTATTTATGATGTGAGGTTCATTCTCCTC